TTTAAGTCTTTGATCCATCTGGAATTCGTTTTTGTGTGTGGTGTGAGGTACAGATCTTGTTTCATTTTTCTGCAAATGGATCTCCAGTTTTGCCAGCACCATTTTCAATTAATTTTTGATCAGTAAGCCTTCACAAGAATCTTGATGCTTGGGATTAATATAACTAGCCCAAGATCGCTCAGCTATTTTGTGGCAGACCAGAGTCTGGAACCAAGACCTATCTGGCAGCAAGTCCATGTTCTTCCCACTGAACCACCTTCCCTTTTATTGAGACTTATGCTTTCAACCACTCAGCAAGCAGGGTACCGATAATAAGAGCCAAGGACACTTTTATTTCACATAGTTTATTACAATTAGTACACTCAAAACCATGTAAACTCCACATAGTAAACGGTATATCCTCTGCAACAACCAGCAGATCGTCTGTCATGACCTTCCAGCAGCCTCAATGGTTTATACATTTATACACTTCACAGAAACTGATGAGCATACAAATAAGATTGTATTACATTTTTTTAGAAAAAGGTCTTTTTGGTCAACATTTTCTATGAAAAACAACTTTCCTCTTTGGCAAAAGAGGTTAACTCCCCCATTGTTAACTCACAAAGTAAGCTCAAATGAAAATCACTGAATATGATGTACAGCTGAGGTCTGGTCTAATCTAGAATTATGGACACATACTCAAGGAGGATACTGTTTCTTAAAAAATGAGTTTGGTTCCCAACCATCTTGGTAGAAAAGCACCATTTAGATTTGGTCTTGGTCAGTTTTGTAAGAGCACATTTCAAATAACTTTTTATTTATTTATAACTCCCTCAGGGTACAATGGAAGTCACTAAAATCACTAAAATGTTCTACTTCTGAATAAAGTCATGAAAATGTGGGCATCTAACCTCAGCAATATTTTTAAGCTGAGGTAAAGAACGTCTTGCCCAGTAATTCCGACTGTAACTGCTGTGCTACCTTCATTTCTTTATGTTCTGGTGGCTGTAAATCTCAGCATTTGGCTTTGCAGACAGATACGCAAAAGCAGGTTTGCATAGGAAGGCTGCATAGCATCAGCCAAGCCCAGGAGAGAAATAAGCAAAATGAGATGAAGTGGTCACGTTTCCTTTGGCCTCCAACACTGGTCTCTGCATGCCACGTGGATCTCCTCTCTGTGTGACCGCTGGCTGACTACTTCACATCCCCATCTGAAGTGGAACTTAGAAGGAAACAGGCAGCTGAGGTGGTGTTTTTTTTTTTTTTAAACAAACATAATTGCTAAACAACCACCCTGGTGTGCTTTTCAAGTAATTTTATTTCTTCCAGGAGAAGAATGTTAAAAATGCTTAGTTCTAGTTGTCAAAGGAAAGGAAATGAGCCACAATAACAAGATTAAATATAAACAGACCTGCTGCTAACACCGTATCAGATAAAATATATTTTAAAAGTGAACAGAACTATTATATACACTTTGCCACAGCTGCATTTTCCCACTTAACCTCTGTGCAGAACAAACATCTGATAAAGCAAGCTTCAGTTACTTTCATTCTTGTTAAATATAACTCTGTACAGATTGCACATCTTACACCACGGCAGCTCAGGATCACAGTTAGAGAAATGAAAATACCATCGGAAATTTTCATTTTTCTAGCCCTAAAAGAAACAGCAGACGGTTGCCCTATGGGTCAGAACAAAATCAGCTGCACAGTTTTGTAAACAGTATGAGGTTGTCTCTAGGACTCCACCGTCGGATCCTAATCTCTGTCTGTCTGTCTCTCTCTCTCTCACACACACACACACACACACACACACACACACGAACAGCAGTCTCCCTTCTTCCAGTGACAACAGTACAACAGCCAACTGATGCTCAGTACCACAGCAGGTTTCTTTCACATTGTGTTCACAAAAGAGCAGTCATGGCCGTGTGGTTGAGGGGTTTGAGGCAGTCTCTGGGGGCTGAATAACCATCACTCAGTAAGGGGCTCATCTGTGGCTTTTGATAGTCAGAATCTCTGCTCTCTGTGGGGAAGAAGCTGTTCACTTTGGGCTTATCATACATCCCATTCGCAGCCTTGGGGCTTTGGGGCATTTGATAGTCTCCACTTTTGGTGCCTGCCCCTCCGGAAGGGGAGAAACTGCCTGAAGAAAGAGAGTGTTTGTGTGTGGCCGTGGAGCCGGGGACTCGGTAGCCACTCTGCGCCGAGAAGGTGTTGGCTCTCATCAGGTGCCGCTCCACGATGGGCAGGGCGTACTCAGGCTCCTGGTTGGTCAAGGGCAAGGCGTACTCGTGGCGGCCAGCGTTGTGAGGGCAGTCATAGTGGGCGCTCACGTCAGTGCTCAGCCCTGCCTCATCTGCATCAGTGTCCATCGGCCGGAAGGTGGAGCCTTTCCTTGTGACTGTCTCAGTGCCAATCATGAGAGGCTGCTGATAATCTGAAAGGAAATGAGTAGATGCCACATCATTTGTGCACGGCACCGATACACAGGCAAGCCAGTTGCTGTAGAAGGCAATGCCTTGGTTAAGGCAGTGGAACCAACACTATACTGAGTGCCTCAAGTGTCACCAGCTCCTCAATGTGTCCCATATCCACATACTGAGAAACTGTCACCAGGTACTGAGAAAGACTGAGATGTAAAAGTCACAGGTCCCTCATCCAGGATTTACATAACCATAATCACTGCTTAGGGCTCCCTGTAGTGCAAATGGCTAATATGCCTGGCTGCTAGGAGAATAGGGGTTTGAGTCCACCCAGGCATGCTTTGGTAGACAGGCATTATCATGATAATGGTCACCAGGTCTGGTGACTAACTTCCATGGAGCACAGTTCTCCAGCACACACGGGGTCACCACGAGATTGGTGGTGGTGGGCAATGGCTGCTTTGGAAAGGGCCTGAGGGTCACAGGAACCTAGAGAAAGGAGACATTAGGTTTAACCTCAGGGTGCGGGAAAAAGTACTTCACAAAAGAAGTGGTACTTAAACTGGCTCTCGAAATGCCAAGTCTGGGAGGTGGAGGTACTAGTGTGAGTAACAGGAGGAAAGAACCACCCCGAAAATATATAGAGTCTGACATGGCGGAGTATGAGTGTCATGAAGTAGTTTGTTTAAAGACAGAGATGAAGGTTGGGCCCTAATGACGATGGTGATGATAATGATTAAACTATAACATTTACTGAGTTTTATTCTGTATCAGGCACTATCCTAAGATATTAGTTTAATTATGAGACAGGGAATATTACTCTATTTTATAAGTGGGGAAAGCAAAGCAGAGAGAGATTAAATAACTTCCCAAGATCACACAGCTAACAGGTGACGGAGCTAGGATTGGAGCACAAGTCCTGAGTGTATACTATTAACCTTACGCTAGATTAGGAAAAGCACCGAATGTCTTGCTAGGTGTTTGGTTTAATTCTGTAGAAACTTACTGAGGATTCTAAATAAAAGACTGGCACAATTAGTAACTCTGGGGGTAGAATAAAGAAGGCAGAGAAGCAAAAAGGAAAAGCAAAGAAAAATGAAATATAAGAGGTCATGACCTAGGTGAGTGGCAGCAGCCTTAGAAAAGGTCACAGTTCGGGGACAGGAAATCAGAGGAGGTCATTACCAATGACACATGGGTCATGATGGAAGGGGGAGCCAAGGACCCTTCCCAGGGGTTAAATCTGGATGACTGGAATGTACAGTGGGGAAGTAGCTTAGAAAAGGAATACAAGGGTCCTATGTGGTGAGAGTTAGGAGCAGTGACTTCAGTTTTGGACCCACTGAGGATCTGGTGGCACTTGTAGTTGGAGACACCCAGCAGACCAACATGCAAGAGAGGGCTCTGGTGGAAGCTCTGAGCATGGGTGAGACTGCGGAGGGGAGAGACTGCATGTGAGTGTGGATGAGAGCAGGGGCCAGTGGCCTTCTGCACATAAGGCCCCTGCAAATGATCCCTCAGTGAGAGAGGAGAGGGGCTTGATTGGAAGCTGGTGGAGAATAAAAGGATGCAAAAGAGCAGAAAATATGTTCCCCCTTCTTCTCACTTTCCCTCTTAATGTATACCTTGAATTGACTGCAGGAAAGGGACAGGATTTTGGTTGGAGAGATGCTCTCTTTGCCCCTGAAGTGGCTCAAGCACACTCCCCAATACACACACACCGGGACCTCTCAGACTGTGTTGCGCATGTGCACCACCTAGGAACTTTGGGTTCGGCAGGCCTAAGGCATGGTCAGAAAGTCTACATTTCTAGCGAGCTTTCAAGTCAGAGGGATACTCCTGGGTCTCAGAATGCACTTTGAACAGAAGCCAGAGCAGTGCTACTCAGAGTATGGTCTCCAGACCTTTACATATCTGAGAATGTAGTGACAGGTTACCAAGGCAATAGCCCAGAAATGGACAGTGAGTGTTTAGAAACTTTGAGCAATTCAACAGTAATTTTATGTCCATTAAATCTAATTTAAAAGATAAGGCTTTGTATTTTGCATGTTTTTTTAAAATGTTCTATTTCTGATCATTCATATTGTAATTTACAAAAATGTTAGTCCATGATGAACGACTGCAAATAAAAACAAAAACAAAAACTGGATCCTTCCCCACAAATAGTTTGGGAAGCTTGACTCTCGATGATGTCAGAGATAATGGAGGCCATTCCAACCTGGTTGGGTTCCTTTTTCTCCTATCTCCTCTTCCTCAGGGCAGAAGCTGTATTTATCTTTCTAGTCCCTGTTTCCCAGCGTCTCAATCAAAACAGAATAGGTTATTTAAGGCCATCTGGATTCTTGTAGTACTTCAGGGCCATCACTATGGATGTCATTACATTTCCTGCAAGTGTAAGAGGTGCGGCTAAACTGAGCTCTTGAGTAACATCTCAGTGTCAGTGTGTAACACCATGCAGAGTACAGAGACAAAACTGCTTAACACATTACTGATTTATCAGACCCCATCTAAACCAAAAGACATTAGTTTCACTTCTCTCCTGGTTCCCTCCCCTAACAGTATGATGATCCAGTCATAGAGACTGGATACTTACCTGCCATATCACATGCAATGAGATCTAACTTTTGGGTCATCTCCTTTTCATTATCATAGCTGATGGTAAACTCAGATGACTGATGTCTGGCAAAAGGGTACTTAATCTGCTTCCAACAGCCTGGAATGAAGAGAATAGGAAACTAGAACATCAGAAATGCAACAGGCACTCTCCATGGTGTGCTCCTTAATGAGCCTGAGTTAAATCCTTCTTGACGGCTGACTGTGACCAGTGCATGACCACACCCTCCAGATGTGCGTGGTAAAAACAGCATGCTGAGGTCACTGGCAACAGCCGCAAGCACTATCCCAGTCATGCATTATACTGTGCCTCCAAAATGTATTTGTGTGCCCATCAGGTCCCAGGGTATCCCTATGCTGGACCATGCTGGGCATGGTTTTCCATAATCTGCACTGCCATGACATTGGTGGCCCAGAGGAGACAATGTAATGTGACTGGCTGTTTAGACACCCCATGGAGGTGGAGCGTGAATGGTCTCTGAGGTTTCCCAGGACTCCTGCCTCACCAGCCCCACTCTTGACCACAGCTGACTTGCTGTTCACTGCTTGGGCATCCCGTGTTGTAAGGACTCTCTGAAACCTGAATGTGAGCCCTGGCCTAGTCCTTTCTCTACTTTCCCAGAGCGGAAAACTCCAGTGGCCCAAAAATGACTGTTGATAACTGATGGGGATGATGTTAAACAAAGGTTAACAGGTCATCAAATATATGAATTAAAATAGAATGAAGACATGGGGCACAATAAAGTTCTTCCTTCCAGATTTGCTAACTTAAAGGCTCTTGATCTTAGGAGTTTTTGTAAAACATCAAATTTTGTATTTTTTAAGCCACATAAGTTTGGGCCACAGGCCTCATTATGCTTTTAATAAGCAGATCTTGTCACTTCCTTAAAGACAGAATGAAACTGTAGAGTTTTCAACCAACCTGGTTTCTGAGCCTCAGCTGATCCATAAGGATTTCCTTTCTTCTTCCTTCTATCAAGACAAAAAGCCCATCTGAATATTTATGTTACTGTATCTCTCTCGCCATCTATACCTGGGGATCATAATAGTGCTCACTTTGTTTTGAAATTAGAACAGTAAATAAATATGAAGGATTACATAGAAATATATCTCACTTATGTAATAAAGGTCACAATATTTTCACTAGAAGAATACGTGCTAATGTTGATTTATATCCTAGAAAGCAATATTTTATTATCTTGTTTTCTAACTAGCTCATGTAGTCAATAAAAATCCTTAATTATTTCAGAAAAGAATCAGGCCTAATATTTCAGATGGAAAAGCACCAAGATGACAAGGCGGCAGCTGAAGCAACCCCTCCTGAGCACGTGTGTTCCCTTAATCCTTACTCGCTATAAACTGAAACCACATCTCTTGCCACTGAGTCAATTCCCGCTCATGGTGATCCCAGGCGTTAGAGGAGAACTGCCCCCTGTGGTTGTTTCCCTGGGTTTAATATTATAGAAGTAGATTTCCAGGCCTTTCTTCCATGGCCTGTTGGGTGGGTTTGAACTGCCAACCTTTTGGTTAATAAGCCCACTGCCATCAAGGCAATTGTGACTTAGAGCAACCCTGGAGTTGAGGGCAAACTGTTGGCACACTCAGAAATGTCTATTCACTACACCCCAGTGTATTCAGTGATTGTGGGTATCTTTAAAAGCATTTATCACAAAAATATTAAGTTAAGACACTTGGCTTTAACTCATAAATATCTACACGAAGCTTTATGTACTTTGACTTTTGTCTAGAAAACTGTTCTTCATTCTGTTTGTACTAATACTTACATTTATAGATTTGGAAGCTTTTTAACATATAAAAACAAACTTCAGAATGTTTTCCATTTTTTGTTAAGATCCAACTGCTAACATTTGTTAAAATAAACACAGAGCTTTGGACTCTGGAAGAGAGTTAGTGCTTCTCTGGGTAAACCTTTCTGTTTGCGCATGAGAAAAGTGAGGCCTGAGAGGCTAAGTGACCTTCCCACTTGTGACCCAGGTGGGGCTGGAATGCATAGCATACTCCTGACCCTCATTCTAATACTCTTTCCAGCTACTGGTGGGAGAAAAACAGATTGTTCAAGAAGAATATTTTGGTCCTATATTACTTTGTCAACAATGCTCAGCAGTTAAGCCTACATCAAAGGTTTCTAAATGATAAGAACTGTTTACAAAATACTACTTGAGAGTCTCTACGCAAACTGTTTTTAATACGTAAGGTAACATTTTCTCTTGGAAGAAGGAATGCTGCTTTTCTACACATGAATATTGGAAAAGTAAACTTTCTCATTTTATAATTGTTTACATAATTAGAGGAGAAATTTAAAAAAAATGTAAAGTCACATACTTTCGGAAGACTGCAAAGATTCCCATTCCAGCAACCAGTAGGGCAACCAGGAGCAGCAATGGAATAACAACAGTTGTAAAGTTTATTCCTGAAGAAGGGGGAAAGCCAGACTTTACAGTTTATAACATAAACAAACTATAATCAGATTTCATTATCTAAAACTAAACATTGATTTAGCATAATGGCTAAGACACTTGCCTGCTAACCAGACGGCTGGAGGTTCAAACCCACCGGCCACTCCTCGGAAGGAAGGTTGGGCAATCCTACTTCCTAGTGATACTGCCTGGGAAACCCAAGGAGGGGTCGCTATGAGTCGGGTTTGACTCGACGGCACATAACAACAACAACAACAAATTGCTAAAGGAGCTCTGGTAGCATAGTGGATAAGGCACTTGACTGCTAACCAGAAGGCTGGCGGTTCAAACCCACCAGCCACTCCTCGGAAGGAAGGTTGGGCAATCCTACTTCCGTAGTGATACTGCCTCGAAAACCCAAGGAGGGGTCACTATGAGTCAGGGCTGACTGGACGGCACATAACAACAATTAACAACAACAAAATTGCTAAAGGGAAAAGAATGAATACAAGTTAACCATTTACTGGTATCTGAAAGCAAAAGGAGAGGATTTGAAATCCTTGCCACATTTAGGAAAATAATTTTTCTTCCCCTCAAAAGCAGTTTCCAGTGTCCCTCAAGGATTAACATTTACTCTGAGTTTGTTGTTTGGCCCCCCAAAAATCCCCAGACCATTGCCACGGAGTCAATGTCAACTCATAGTGATCCAATAGACAGAACAGAACTGCTCAATAGGGTTTCAAAAGCTGTATATCTTTATGGAAGCTGACCGCCTCGTCTTTCTCCTGCTGAGTGGCTGGTGGGTTCAATTAGTAGCCAAGTGCTTAACCACTGCACCATCAGTGTTTCTCTTGGCCAACATTTGACACCAAAAGTTAGACTCAGTAGAGAAGGTTTAAAATTGGCACAGCTAGTAGGGCACTCTGATGGTGTAGTGCCCAAGGCATGACTGCTAACCAGGAGGCTGGTGGAACCACCAACCAGCCACTCCTCAAAAGGAAGATCAGGTCATCTATTCCGATAGGAATACTGCCTTGGAAACCCAAGAAGGGGTCACGATGAGTTGGATCTGACTTTACGGCAGTTAAGTTTTGCTTTTGGTTTTAGTCAATATCTATTTACAGAGGTAAATGATGTAAGCAAAGTGTGGTGCTCTTAGCTTGGCTCAATCCACCAGTTCCTCAAGATGGCTGGTGAATTTGGACCTGTACAATAACAGAGACCTAGGGTTTCTCATTACCAGGGCTTTGGAGTTGTAGACTGAAACATGGGGATCATAACAGTACTCACTTTGTTGTGAAATTAAATGGCGTAGTGCCTAAGGCATTTGACTGCTAACCAGGAGGCTGGAGGTTCAAACCCACCAACCATTCCTGGGAAGGAAGACTGGGCAATCTACTTCCGTAGAGATACTGTCTCAGAAACCCAAGAAGGGGTTGCTATGAGTCCAGACTGACTGAATGGCAGTGAGGTTTTTTTTTTTTTTTTAAATAATTTTATGTGCTTAGAACAGTGAATAAAAACATAGGATTATATATAAATATCTCACAATAAAAATCACAATATTTTCACTAGAAGCATGTGTGCTAATTTTACTTTATATCCTAGAAAGCTGTACTTCATTATTTTATTTTCTGACTAGTTTATACAGCCTGCTGACCTCAAACAGCATTTTCTCTAATCTGCATGAAACATAAGACCACAAGTCTTCCACAACCCTCAGCTTTAAACAAGGAGTTGATGGTGAAGTTGTTAAGTGCTGAACTGTTAACCAAGAGATAACTAGCTGCTCTGTGGAGAAAGATGTGGCAGTTCTACTCTGTTCTATAGAGTTCCTATGAGTTGAAATCAACTTGACAGCAATGGGTTTTACCAGCCAATGAGGCAACCTCAAGTTTGTAGAAACTGTGCAAACTAAAGGAGAAAAATTTACTTTTCACCCTTCTCTATGTGTGATTCCTGGGGAAAAAATAAAGGGATAATCCGGAATGGATGTCTATAGTCATATAAAAGGGAGAATAAGGAATTTATATATGAATGAAAATTTATGTAAATAATGGTAGTGTTAGTTACAAGAGTGAAAGTTTGGAGGGAAACAATCTGACAACGTAAATATTCAACAGTAGCGGAAGGGTTAAATGAGTAAAGGTATATCCATATGGTAAGACACTATAAAGCTGTTAATAATTGTGTTTTTCAACTATCTAATAACACTAAAAATGCTCATAATATTATGACCAGGATCTTAAAAGCTTGCAAGTGGCCATCTACATGCAATGATGAGTCTCTCCACATCCAGAGCAAAGAAGAATGAAGAAAACCAAAGACATATGGAAACAATTAGTCCAGGGATTGGTAGACCATGCGATCCTCGGACCATATGACCATAAGACCAGAAGAACTAGATGATGCCTGGCTACCACTGTCAACCACTTGGAAGGGGTCTGTGTAGGAGATCCTGGATAGAGAGGGAGAACAACGTGGAACAAAACTCAAAATCATTTAAAAAAAAAAGAAAGAAAGACCAGGTTTGCTGGTGTGATAGAGCCTGGTGAAACCCCTGAGACTATGGCCCCTAGCTGCCCTTCAGGTCCGGAATGGAACTCACTTCTGTGGCTTCCAGCCAAATAATAGGCATATGGGCTGAACATTTACATCAGATAGATACATTCCTTGGAGAGATCAATCATGGGAGAACAGAAGGGCTGTGTATGCACAGGGAGACAGTTTGTGGAGCAGGAGGAAAGGACAGAAGGAAGAGATAACTATGGGAGGAAGGACAGAGGGAAGAGATAACTATGGAAGGAAGTAGGAAGAGAACTGTTACATTGTGGGGAATTGCAGTCAATGTCATGAGACAAGATGTGTATGAACTGCTGTATGGAAAATGAATTTGCTCTGTAAACTTTCACCCAATCACAATAAAAATTAAAAAAAAGAGAAAATCTCATAATATTAAATAAAAATTGCCATAGAACAGAACATATAGAGTGCTCCTGTTTTTGTTTTAAAGTTTTAAATATCAATTTAGTGGATTGGATACAGTGAGACATGAATTGAGATCATCTATGGATACTGATTATGGGTGATTTGAAATTTTTTTCTATATTTTTCTAATCTTCTCAAATTTTATAATGCTAATTATTTTATATTCTTAAAAAATAGATGCACTTTTAATGTTCATTGCTTGAAAAGATTACATATTTACACAGACAAAATTCAAAAAGTGTTAAAAAGATTTGACTGTAATCTCTCTGGACATTCATCCAGAGATTATTTATACATAAATAATTATTTTATTTATTTTCCCTCTCTTTTGCACACATAGTAACATGCTATATAAACTGTTCTATTCCTTGCTTATTTTTTCAAATTGTCAGTATATGTCAGAGCACTTTCTGTATCACTAACATAAAGTCTTCATTCTTCCCTTGTTTAACAGGGCATTTCAATGTACAGATGTGCTATTATTTTATCTTAGTTTTGTAATTTATTTATCTAGTGTGTGAAGAGCATGTAAGTTCGTTTCCAATCTTTTTCTACTTACGATGTTGAAAAGACTAGTTGTGGACACATGTGTAAATGCCTGTGGACTGTCTGTCTCCAGATATTTATATGAGAGAGCGAATTAATTTTGTTGAATTACTGTTATATCTGGTGGAGTACCAATTATGTCCCTTACAAAAACCATACAACAGTATCACTGCTGTACCTGTGGGTAGTTCTTCTGAGGGAGCAGGCCTCGTGATTGTCTCGTCTTCTCTTGCAGTGGAAATACCAGTAGTTTGACTTGTTTTGCGCCACACCAGTGAATTATTACCTGAGAGAGCAAGGATGTTGGAAAAAACATTAGCAACAAGGATCTGTGAAAGCAAATGACCAAAATCGAGTAACTCACTGACTCGCCCTGAGCCCCACTTCATATAACCTGGCAACCAATGAGCTCCACATTCAAGGCTATCCCTTAGTGCCAAACTTTACACAAGGAAGTGATGGCACAGTGTTTAAGTGCTCGACTGTGAACCCAAAGATAACCAGCTGCTGGTGGGAGAAAGATGTGTCAGTCTGCATCTGTAAAATTAATAGCCCTGGAAACCATATGGGGCAGTTCTACTCTGTCCTATAGAGTTGCTATGAGTTGGTATCAACTCGACAGCAACAGGTTTGAACAGCCACTGAGGCAACCCCAAGTAGAAACTTTGCAAACTAAAGTAGAAAATTTTACTTTTTACATTTCTTTATGTGTGATCCCTTGGGAAAAATAAGGGATAATCAGTAATGGATGTGTATAGTGCTGTGAAAGAGAGAATAAGGAATTTTTATATGAATGAAAATTTATGTAAATAATGTCAATGTTACTCATAAGAGTGAAAGTTTGGGGAAAACATCTGAAAACTTAAACACCTAACAACAGTAGAATGGTTAAGTGAATGGTGGAATATTCACATGATAAAACATGATAAATCTGTTAATAACTGTGTTTTCAAGTCTTTAACAACATTGAAAAATGCTCATAATATTAAATAAAAATTGCTATACAGCAGAATATATGGAATGCCCCCATTTTTATCTTAAAGTTGTAAATATCAATTTAGTGGACTGGATAAAGTTGGATATGAATGGAGATTATCTATGGATACTGATTATGGGTGATTCTAATTTTTTTTTTTTGCTATATTCTTCTAATCTTCTGAAATTTTATAATGCTAATTATTTTATATTCTTAAAAAAATAGATGTACTTTTTATTTTCATTGCTTGAAAAGATTACACATTTATATGGGTAAAATTCAAAAAGTAGAAGAAAGGTCTGACTGTAATCTCTCTGGACATTCATCAAGAGAAATTTATACATAAAAAGCCAGCACGTATATTTATATTATTTTTCCTCTTTTTTGCACACATGGTAACATGCTATATAAACTGCTCTATTCCTTGTTTATTTTTTTTTGTCAGTATATGTCAGAGCACTTTTTGTATCACTAATATAAAGTCTTCATTTTTCCCTTGTTTAACGGAGCATTTCAATGTACAGATGTGCTATTATTTTATTTTTGTAACTTGTTCATCTAGTGTGTGAAGAGCACTTAAGTTAGCTTCCAATCTTTTTCTACTTACAACATTGCAAAGAATAGTTGTGGACACAAATCCTTTTATATATGTGCAAATGCCTGTGGACTGTCTGCCTCCATATATTTATATGAGAGAGAAAATAAATTTTGTTGAGTTGCTGTTATATCGGGTGGAGTGGCAGTTATGCCCCTTACAAAAACCACACAACAGTATCACTGCTGTACCTGTGGGCAGTTCTCCTGAGGGAGCAGGCTTCCTGATTGTCTCATCTTCTTTCGCAGCGGAAATACCAGTAGTTTGACTTGTTCTGCGCCACACCAGTGAATTATTACCTGAGAGGGCAAGATGTTGGAAGATCACATTACTAACAAGGATCTGTGAAAGCAAATGACCAAAATCAAGTAACTCACTGACTCGCCCTGAGCCCCACTTTGTGAAATCTGGCAACCAATGAGCTCCACGTTCAAGGCTATCCTTTGGTGCCAAGTCTGGGGGATGACCCGCACATATCTGGCCACGATGGGCGGGATGAAATTGTTCCTCACTGGGTCTCGAAAGTTAGAGTTGCCTTGGAACACCTGTAGAAAGAAGTTACTTTTACTTGAAGAGTCTGTTAGTCTTTTGGTCGTTATCAATCCTCTCACATCTACTTATGTGAAACAAAAGCAAAGATTCTGTGTGTTGCATTTTTCAGATCCTCTTGATATTGAAGACATAAGACTTTGTAAACAAAGGCCAAGTTACTCAGGTGGTACTACTGTCTTCTGATTTGAATTTTATTTTGGATAAAGAAGCTAATATTTTCTAGATGTAATACTGACCTTGCTCTTTCTACATTAATATGGTGTTATTGATCAGCAATCTCAATAGCAAAAGTCATCAATTCTTACTCCCTTCCTAATTCCAATGATCTCTTAACAGCATCCCAATTCCAAGTTACAACCCAAAACCTCCACCATGTTCCAATTTATGCCAACATAATTATTTCAAGTTACCAACTACCACCTCCCAAGAAAATCACAAGTATCTCATTCTTCGGAGCTCTTGTGGCACAGTAGTTAAAGTGCTTGGCTAACTGAAAGGTTGGTGGTTCAAATCCACCAGTAGCTGCATGGGAGAAAGATGGGGAAGTCTACTTCCATAAAGATTTACAGTAAGCCCTATGAAGCAGTTCTACTCTGTGCGAGAGGATCACTATGAGTTGGAATAGATAACAGTGGGCATCTCATTCTGAAGTAGAAAAGAATTAAGTTTCAAGTATCTCTTAAGATTTTTCTTATTCTCACAAGCTGAAGGAAGGACTGTCCTTGTCTTTTATTAATGAAAAATATGATGTAAACACGAGGACCAAAGTGTTTGGAGGCTTGCTCCCTCCACTCACTTCTCTTTACTCCCCAGTTTCTCTTACCTTTTCTTCATTATTCACAATTCCTTTATAGGTCTTCCACTTGGAGTTGTTGTTTTTAAAATTCATCACAAAACTCTTAACATAATAGTTGAAACTTGACTGTGTGGATCCTGTGGTCCTAATTCCTTGTAAGGAAACATTATTTATAGGTTAGTTTTTAAAATATGGTAACATATAGCATGCGTTGTAATTTCAGATTTCATTTTATTCTCATTTGAAATCTCAATATTTTACAGACCAACTACCTTAGTTGTATTGAAAAACCTGATCATAAACAAGTGTTTTCACACTGACAATCTACTATAAAAAGGTTCTGCCAAGGAGGTATCATCCAAAAAGAGAACACTGTACTGATCTGTACCATAAAGACAACACTGTTCTGATAATTGCAATCTGCACACACTTCTTCTCACAGGGACAATGTGAGGATTTGTAACATTTTAAAACCATGTCAAATACCTTCAAGTAGAAACAGAGGCAACTATGTAAATTAAAAGCATAATTTCAACTGAAAATCATTTTCCATTCACACAGTGCTTCAGTGCTTCCCCCATTACCTGTTATTTTTTTTTTCTCTCCCAAATCTATTTCCAGCCACTCTCGTTGTTTGTGGTTGTTGCTGTTGTCTCCTGAAGCCCACGATGGACCTTGATTCTGAAGCCCAGCCTGACCAGGAGACCAATAAACTTTTTCTTCAATATCATTGACCCACTGCCAAGAGTATGTTCCAAAACTCAAGGATTTGCTGCAATCTAGCAAAAAAGGGAAATAAAACATTTAATATACTATTATAAAATGAAAGTGCACCTAGAATTATTTAGCTGATAAACTTCTATCCTGATACTGAATCAACTATTTAATTACTAGTTTTTTTTTATGACCCAGTCTTTCATTTGACTCATTTATGCTAGAATATCTTCAAATTCTGTTTTAAAAAATTATGGTAAAGATACATAAAACAAAACATTTGCTGTGTCAACATTTTTTACATGTCCAATTTAGTGATAAAAATTAGTTCCATCATGTTGTATAATGATCACCATCATCCATTTCCAAATTTTTCCATTACCCTTAACGGAAACTCAGTGCCCCTTAAGCTATGATTCTATCTTGTCCTTCTTCCCACCCTTGGTAAGCAGTAATAAATTTTGGTCTCTGTATCTTTGCCAATTCTAGATATTTCATATAACTGGGTAATATATTTGTCCTTTTGTGACTGACTTATTTCACCCCACATAATGTTTTCAAGGTTTATCCATGTCACAGCATATATCAGAAGGAATGAATCTCTTTTGGGCAAAATAGTATTTCATTTTATGTTGTACCACATTTTGTTTATCCATTCATCTGCTCACAGACATTTAGGTAGTCTTCATGTTTTGGCTACTATGAATAGCGTTTCAATGAACACTAGTATACAAGTATCTGTTTGTGTTCTTGCTTTCAATTATTTTGGGTACATACCTAAGAGTGGAATTGCTGAGTCATATGTTTTTCTTTGGTTTGCATGGTAATTCAACGTTTGACTTTTTGAGGACCCATGAAATTGTTTCCCACAGAGGTTGCACCATTTTATAATCCCACCAGCAATGGAAGAGGGTTCCAATTTCTCCACACCCTCGCAACACTTGTTTGCCACTTTTCTGATCATAGCCATTATAGTAGAAGTGAAATGGTATCTCATTGTAGTTTTGATTTGCACTCCCCCTAGCCACTCCTTGGAAGGAAGTTTGGGCAATCTACTTCTGTAGTGATACTACCTAAGAAACCCAAGGAGAGGTTGCCATAAGTTGGATCCAACTTGATGGCAGTGAGTTTGGTTTTGGTTTGGAATGACTAATGACTTGCCTGTCAGTTCATCATACTTTGGTGGCTTGTGTGTTGCTGTGAGTCTAGAGGCTATGCCACAGGTATTTCAAATACAAGCAGGGTCACCCATGGTGGACAGGTTTCAGCAGAGCTTCCAAGCTAAGACAGACTCAGAATACGGAAGCGGCAATTCACTTCTCAAAGAATCAGCCAATGAAAACCTTATGAATCACAGTGAAATACTCTCTGATATATCTGGAAAACTTTATGACTGGCCTTGAAATATTTTCTGATATAGTGCCAGATGATGAGCCCCTCAGGGTGGAAGACTCTCAAAATACAACTGGGTAAGAGTGGCCTTCTCAAAGTAGAGTTGACCTTAATGATGTGGATGGAATAAAGCTTTCGGGATCTCCATATGCTAATGTGGGGTGACTCAAAATGGGAAGAAACAGCTGCCAACATCCATTAATAACCTGAATGTGGAATGTAAGAAGTATGAATGTAGGAAAACTGGAAGTTGTCAAAAATGAAATGGAATGCATAAAGATCAATATCCTAGGCATTAGTGAGCTGAAATGTTTCATTTTATCCATTTTGAATGAGAAAATCGTATGATCTATTATGGCTGTGATGACAAATTGAAGAGGAATGGTGTGGCATTCATGGTCACAAAGAATGTTTCAAGATCTATCCTGAACTACAATGCTGTCAGTGATGGGATAATATCCATACACCTACAAGTAAGACCAGTTACTACTACTATTATTCAAATTTATGCACCAGCTATTAAACCAAAGATGATGAAATTGAAGACTTTTACCAACTTCTGCAGTCTGAAATTACCAAATATGCAATTAAGATGTGTTGATTATTATTGGTGATTGGAATGCAAAAGTTGGAAACAAAAATAATCATCAGTAGTTGGAAAATATGCCCTTGGTGATAGAAATGATTCCAGAGACCACACAATAGAATTTTGCAAGAACAACTTTTTCATTGCAAGCATCTTTTTTCAACAACATAAATGGAAGTTATACATGTGGACCTTGCCAGATGGAACACACAGGAATCAGATCAACTACATCTATGATAAGAGGTGATGGAGAAGCTCAGTATCTTCAGCAAAAACAAGGTCAGGAGCTGACTGTGGAACAGACCATCAATTGCTCATATGCAAGTTCAAGTTGAAGCACAAGACAATTAAAACAAGTCTACAAGAGCCAAAATATGACCTTGATTATATCCCACCTGAATCTGGAGACTATCTGAAGAATAGATTTGATGCATTGAACACCAATGACCGAAAACCAGATGAATTGTGGGGTGACATCATGAGCATCATACATGAAGAAAGCAAATGGTCATTAAAAAGACAGGAAAAGAATAGACCAAAATGGATGTCAGAAGAGACTCTGAAACTTGCTCTTGAGCAAAGAGTAGCTAAAACAAATGGAAGAAATGACAAGATAAAAGAGATGAGCAGAATATTTCAAAAGATCAGCTCAAGAAGACAAAGTCAATTATTATAATGAAATATGCAAAGACCTGGAGTTAGAAAACCAAAAGGGAAAAACATGCTTAGCATTTCTCAAGCTGACAGAACTGAAGAAAAAATTTAATTCACAAGTTGCAATACTGAAACAGTCTATCGGGAAATTACTGAACAATGCAGGAAGCATCAAAAGAAGATGGAAGGAATACACAGAGTCATTGCACAAGAAAGAATTAGTCAGTGTTCATCTATTTCACAAAGTGGCACATGATCAAGAACTAATGAAACTGAAGGAAGAAATTGAAGCTGAACTGAAGGAAATGGTGAAAAAACAAGGTTCCAAGAATTCATGGAATATCAATGAGATGATTCAACAAATGGATATCAAACTGGAGGCACTTACGCATCTATACTAAGAAATTTGGAAGACAGCTACCTGGCCAACTGATGGGAAGAGATTCATATTTGTACCCATTCCAAAGAAAGGCGATCCAACAGAATGTAGAAATTATCAAACAATCTTAATATCACACACAAGTAAAATCTTGCTGAAGATAATTCAAAATGTTTGTAACAGTATACTGACAGGGAACTTCCAGAAATGCAAACAGGATTCAGAAGAGGATATGGAATGAGGGACATCATTGCTGATGTCAGATGGATCTTGGCTGAAAGCAAAGAATACCAGGAAGATGTTTACTTGTGTTTTATTGACTATGCAAAAGCATTAGACTGTGTGGATCATAACAAATTGTTGATAACATTGAAAAGAATAGGAATTCCAGAACACTTAATTGTGCTCATGAGGAACCTGTACATAGACCAGGAAGCTGTCATTCAGTCAGAACAAGGGGATACTGCATGGTTTAAAATCAGGAAGGAGGTGCATCACAGTTGCATCTTTTCACCATACTTATTCAATCTGTATGCTGAGCAAAAAATCGAGGAGCTGGACTACATGAAGAACATGGCATCAAGATTGGAGGAAGACTCATTAACAACCTGCTATATGCAGATGACACAACCTTGCCTGCTGAAAGTGAAGATGACTCAAAGCACTTACTGATGAAGATTAAAGATTAAAGTCTGCAGTACGGATTACCTCAACATAAGGAAACGAAAATACTCAAGCTGGACCAATGAGCAGCATCACTATAAATGGAGAAAAGACTGAAGTTGTCAAAGATTTCATATTACTTAGCTCCACAATCAACACCAATGGAAGCAGCTTTCAAGACATCAGATGACATATTGCACTGGGCAATCTGCTGCAAAAGACCCCTTTAAAGTGCTGAAGAGCAAATATGTCTCTTTGAAGATTAAGGTGCACCTAACCCAAGTCATGGCATTTTCAATAGCCTCATATTCATGTGAAAGCTGGACAATGAATAAGGAAGACTGATGAAGAGTTGATGCTTTTGAGTTGTGGTGTTGGTGAAGAATACTGACTGTACTATGGACTGCCAGAACAATGAACAAATCTGTCCTAGAAGAAGTGCTGCTGGCATGCTCCTTAGAAGAAAGAATGGCCAGAATTCATCCGACCTACTTTTGTCTTGTTGTCAGAAAGGACTACTCCCTGGAGAAGGAGATCATGCTTAGTAAAGTGGAGGGTCAGCAAAAAAGGGGAAGGCCCTCAACAAGAAGGACTGACACAGAGGCTGCAATGATGGGATCAGGCATAGCAAGGATTGTGAGCACACGACTGGGCATTGCTTCATTCTGTTGTACAGAGGGTTGCTATGAGTTAGAGCTGACTTGCTACCACCTAACAACAACAACAACAACAACTAATGAGAAGGAGCCCTGGTGGTGGTGGAGTGTTGTTAAGTGCTTGGGTGCTAAAGGAAAGGTCGATTTTGAACTCACCAGCCACTCTGGGGAGGAACAATGTGGCAGTCTGCTTCCTTAAAAATGTATAGCCTTGGAAACTCTATGGGGTACTTCTATTTTGTCCTATAAGGTAGCTATAGGTTTGCTATGAGTTGGGATTGACTCACGAGGAATGGGCTTGGTTTCTGGATTTTAATGACTACTGAAGGAGTTCTGGTGGTACAAACAGTTAAGTGCTTGGCTGCTAACATAGAGGTTGAACCTACCCTGCAGTCCCTGGAAAAAAGACCTGGCAATCTGCTTCCATAAAGAGAAAACCCTATAGAGTAGTTCCACTTTGTCACATGGTTCGCTATGAGTCAAAAATCAACTTGACAGCACCTAGCAACAATGAATTGAATATCTTCTCATGTGCTTGTTGGGCATTTGTATATCATCTTTGGTAAAATGGCTATTCAAGCATTTTGTGCATTTGTTTACTTATTTATTTTGTCCTTTTGTTGCTAAGTTATGTTGTTGTTGTTATGTGCCGTCGAGTTGTACCCAACTCATAGCGACCCCTCCTTGGTTTCCAAGGCAGTATCACTAAGGAAGTAGATTGCCCAATCTTCCTTCCAAGGAGTGGCTGGTGTGTTTGAACTGCCAGCCTTCTGGTTAGCAGTCAAGTGCCTTAGGCACAATGCTACCAGAGCTCCCGGCTAAGTTATAGGAGTTCTTTATATATGCTGGAATCAAATCATTATCCAATATATGGTTTTCAGACCCTAAAGCATTACTCCTATGTTTTCTAAGAGTTTTATAATTATAGTTCTTACATTTGGATCCTGATCCATCTTGAGTTAATTTTCTTATGTGGTGTAAGGTATCCAGTTGTTCCCTGCTATTCTTTTTAATGGACCTCACCAAAGTCACATCCACTAAAAAGTGCCACCTATTTGTCCCCACTGTGAATTTTCTTTTCTAGCCTTTTAAATTCACCTTGATTTTAATGAAGTACAATGTGTCTTAAAGTTACTAAAGACACTTCTTCTGAACCATCTACTATGTATCTTGAGTATTATATTTCTCAAAGTAACTATTTAAAAATTATCTCTTATAAAACTTTCTCAAAACATTTCTAGCACCCTTTATATTTATTTCTCTGTACTTCAGCACTTCCCTGACTTCAAGGGATTTCACTTTATTAGTCTTTGATTGTATATAAATACATTATACATATGTTATATATAAATAGTCTCTCTCTGTGTGTGTATAATGCATGTGAATAGCTCCTTGGCTTAGCTAAATTTTTGGCTTTATGAATTATATCTTATTTCTCATTTTTAGATTTTCTTAAAAACATCTAATATTTTACTTTAAATATGTGCTAATCAAAACCACAGGAAATAGTTTCACAAAAAACTTTTTATTTTATAACAGTTTTCCATGTAACTCTTAATCACTCCAAAGTTATTTGACTAAAAAAAAAATCATCATATTTTACACATCATGTGAGATAAAACACATGACATAAACTGAATAAATCACCACTGAAGAATTTAAAGTATCAAGTTCTTAAGCAAAGCTGATTCTTACCATTGGAGGCAAACTGAAATCGCTTGTCTGACAGGGAGCCACTGAAACAACAAATACAAAAGAGACAAGATGGTTTATCATAACAGCTTATAGAATTGTATTACTGGGATCACAGAACTTTCCTACCTGGGATTCCTCATGTGATCTTCACAGCACTGCAACAATGCCACTGCTATCACCTTCATCATTATAATATCAGTGCTTTAAAGATTAGAAAACTCAAAGCCACTGAAGGTAAGCAACTTTCCTCAATTCATACTCGTGACAAGTGGCTAAGACTCTGGGCACTGCTTTGAATCAAAATCCTGTGCTGTTTCCACCATACTATATACTGTATTGAAGGAGCTCTGGTGGCGTAATGCCTAAGGCATTTGACTGCTAACCAGAAGGCTGGTGTTTCAAATCCACCAGCCAGTCCATGGAAGGAAGATGGGGCAATCTACTTCCATAAAGATTTACCACCTTGGAAACCCAAAGGGGTCACTATGAGTTGGAATTGACTCGATGGCAGTGAGGTTTATTTATTTTTTTTATACTGTATTGGGAAGAAATGTGCAGGTATACAGGCACAGGAACAACCTTAGATCTCAGCTAATTAATACATGGTGATGAAGGCAGAAAGGACTGCTGTCCTGAAAACTTGCTTTGCTTTAGCAGTCACCTTAAAGCTTCCTACTAATTGTCAACAAGCAGGGACCATTGAGAGGAATGAAGACACACGGTCACTTTTAGGAGAAATGCTGAGAATGTTATTTCTTTATCAGTTTCCTTATGGTGGAGTCTTGTTCCAGAATTGACCCTCCAGGACAGACTCAGCCCATACTCTCTCTTTCAACACTTACCTACCCTGCAACCACTATAAAGCTATGAACCAGCTTCTGCTTCAGGATTTTAAGGTACAGCTGGAGAAAAACCACAGCATCTCACTGACCTCGACTGAACTGTGAGACTATATCACTAGTTATCTGGCCATCTTGGGCCCAACAGTTTTTTTGTCTCATGGGAGTACTTATCAAATCAATCTCACTCTGCAGTTATCTCCTTGAGTAAAGAGGAGATTCCTAATATCCAAGACTATGTTTATTTTAAAAAAGAAAAAAATCCCTTACTAATGGTATTAAAATATAGGTAAAATGAATGGAAGAGTTAGAATTCTCATTTTCTTGCATGCACTGTACTTACTATATTAGATCTAGAGGTAAACACAAGAAGGCAGATATCACTGTCATTGGGTTCAAAGATTTTATAATCTGAGAGTGTTATTTTATAATCTGAGAGTGCCTGTTATTACAAATGCTTAACCTTGAAAAAAAAAATATATATATGAGAATAATGAACAGAGAAAATACTGAAATGTAAAACCCACAGAGAACTCAAAATATTCCAGCCAAAAGTCTAAGCATCTTTCCCTCATAAACTCATTTTAGTAAAAAGATTTCCTGGAATAGATTTTCTCTTCCATATTCGGCATGTACTCTCAGCTGGAGACTTTTTAAACCCTGATGTTCCATAGAGAGGTTCTACTATCACCTATGCACTGAATGTAATGCAGGCACCAATCCTTTCTCACATGAGGAAACTCAGAGCCAGATGGGTCATGGAACTTGTTTTACTTCAAAGTTAGAGGCAGGGCTGGGAGAAGAACAAGCTCTCCTGGCACTTAAAGAAAGCACTTAAACAATTAACATTGCTGTTAATTCATATTTAAATTTGCATTAAGATTTATTTAAAGCTCCTCTCTTGTCTGTTTTCTCTAATGTTCCTGCACTAAGTGTTAAACTTCACATTTGGCTCAAATAAGCTCAAATAACAGCTGCTAAACCCTGAGAGCCTAAGCCCTCTCCCACGGCCATGCTACTTCAAAATATTTCATTTTGTTGGGTACAAAGAGAAGTAGTTGTGGAAAGAAGGATGACTTTGGAGTTGACACTGAGGGGAAGACTCCAGGGAAGACTCGGCATCTAATAACTTGTTGTCCACTTTGTTTTTCCTTTCCATTCCATTAGACTGCTTAAATACTACCACTTAGAGAATTCTCTAAGTAAAAAGGCCTCCTCCTTTAAAAATGAAAACACCCCAAGGAGATAAAGGGTTCTGAAGCATTCACACATTAGTGAATTAACTCAATCAGTCTACAGGAATTGCTATCCTTCCCAGAGGGCTCCAGAAGCAATCAAGAACAGCCTGATGCAAACAGAAAGAAAGGCCCTCCCTTCTGATGGTCTGACCCATCATCCTCCATATGAGGTCAGTCTCTCTTCCTGAATCCGTTCTGGTCTCCGCAAATCAAGGAAGTGACCTGACCCAGGATGAATCCCAGAAGAACCCTGGATATTTACTTTAGGGACCATTCCTTCCTCAGCTGTGATGCTTCCTTCAGTGTTTTTTCCTGAATGCCAAACAATCATGTGTGGGAACTGAAGTTCAATGACCGTGTATACAGCGGTTCCCCAACAGCAAAACAACACAGATAAAAACAACTGCTCCCTGAAGATTTGGGAATCTACATGAGTGGAAGAGACTATTAACAAACTGTTTACTCTTCTCTGCTCAGTGCAAAAATCCAGGCAAAATTTCAGATCAGGAAACAGGAAGGGACCTGATAAAATTCTGGATTTTCTATCTCCTCCCACCAAAAACAAACATTAGAACGGACTTTTAGTTCAAAAAACTACATGAAGTATGGAGCAAAACTCTTTCTAATTCATTAGTAGTTTAGGTTTCTGTACTCTTCTTTTTGTATGGTAGTTGAATTTCAAATTATATAAAGCAACTTACTACATATTGAGCACAGTTATATAGCAGAAGTAATTGAGAGCATAAGCTCTCAACACAATAGTTTTACCACAAATATTTTTTCCTCAAAATAGAATAAAATCCAAGTGGTATAGATTAAACTTTTTATCATCCTATCTTCCTACAAAACATTCAAATATATAAAAATATAGGCAAGGGATTCCAAAAATTAGATCTAAAGCAAAAGGCTAGTTCTTCATTCTTATTTGGAGTATTAGCATTCACTAAATCAAGACCACAGCCTGATACCTTCCTAAAATAACACCCTAGTATCAGTAGCCACTCCTGGGAAGGAAGATGGGCAATCTACTTCCGTAGTGATACTGCCTCAGAAACCCAAGGAGGGGTTGCTATGAGTCAGGTCCGACTCAATGGCATCTAACTACAACAAGAAGTATCAATAGAATAAACCATTAAATAAATAAGAAAAGATCCTTAAGCATCAAAATCAAGCTAACATTTAAAGGCTTACTGTGCATAACTGAGGGAGCTCTGGTGGTGTAGTGCCTAAGGCTTGTGACTGCTGACCAGAAGGCTGGCAGTTCAAACCCACCAGCCACTCCTCAGAAGGAAGGTTGAGCAATCTACTTCTATAGTGATACTGCCTTGGAAACCCAAGGAGGGGTCACTATGAGTCAGGTCTGACTTGACAGCAGTGAGTTTGGTTTGGTTTTGGTGCATAAGTGATAGCTTTTACTATAAATTAGGATATAAATTTTAATTTTCCAAAGAGTTTGATAGAAATATATATATACACGTGTATGTATCTATGTGTGTGGGTGTACATGTATACACACACACATATATATACATATATACATATACATATATATATGTACAGGAGCTCTGGTGGCATAGTGCCTAAGGCATTTGACTGTTAACTAGAAGGCTGGCAGTTCAAACCCACCAGCCACTCCTCAGAAGGAAGGCTGGGCAATCTACTATATTTGTAGTAAGTTAATCTTCAGTCCTAGGGTGGAACAAACACCCTGTCTTCAGTGAATGGTCTTTTATGGATTACATACACCATTACCGGCCTTGCATATGAAACAGTTGGATGGACTGCCCTCTCCAGATCCCCCTGGGGAACTTGGAATTCCTGTGAGAAGCTCTGCCTGTTTTTCTCAGCCACCCACCAGCCAGCCAGCTGGACATGAACATGGTGTGCCAACTGCCATCTATAACTCTTCTCTGGCACTGTATTTGGGCCTTGACTTTCTGTCCTTTTATTCTCCTAAAGCCTGTGTTCTATCAAATCCAAAACCACCTCCTTCATGAGGGTGACCCACCCAATCTCTCCCCTTGCTTCATTCAGTTACTGCTTCAAAATTTCCTTTGCTGTTAGTTTAGGCTAATACCATAATCCAGGAATGAGTTTTAGTCCCAAAGTTTTTTATGAGTTCATAAATTGGTTCTTTGGAATTAAAAAAATGTGTTTTCCTATATATGAAAAAAAAACAGTATTACAACCTATATTTAGTTCTATACATCTCTAGATTTACACCTTCCAGTGGATTAGGCAATCTGAAAGCAAGAAAAGTTGAACTAGAAACATTTAGAGCAGTCGACATACTTTTTTCTTATGAAGCTAAAAGAGTAGTTAACAAAAATCATTTTTTTTAACTCCCCAAATTACTATTGATCAAGACACTGTCTCTAGAGTTTTCAGGGAGAGCTCAGTGGTGCTCTAAGAGTTCATTTTGCTTCACTGTCTCTTTCATAGCTTAGGTAATATTGGAGGTAATCAGTCATTTACTGAGCCAGTAGAAACTAAAAAGGAATAAGCCTTTATTTTCTCTTAGTAAAGCACTGGAGAGTAGAAATACTCTTCTGCCCTGGAACCTCAGAGGTGTGTCTTTTTAATTTACCTGTCAGCACAACCAGTGAGCTTTTCATGTGCACATTTGTCTTCCATATTGTTGTTGTTGTTGTTGTTGTTGTTTGCCATCGAGTCGGCCCCGACTCATAGCGACCCCTCCTTGGGTTTCCGAGGCAGTATCACTACGGAAGTAGGAATGCCCAACCTTCCTTCTGAGGAGTGGCTGGTGGGTTTGAACCGCCAGCCTTCTGGTTAGCAGTCAAGTGCCTTAGCCACTATGCTACCAGAGCTCCACATAGAAACCATAAATGCTGTTCCAAGCATACAACACACACACACACACACACACACACACTTGTCCCAATTGACAAACCCCTAGTATCACATCCCTGCTGTCCTTTCAAAAACGTGAACTGATTAATTATGCCTTCAGGGTTACTTTTCTCTCAGAACAAAAGGCAAAGTACTTACTCCCTTGAAAGCACACCATTGGCCAGGATTCCTTCATATCGACTTAACCCTTTACTTTGAAGCACGCTGATCTGGCCACCCAGTTCATCTGCAATTACTCCTGCATGGATGGCAGCTTTGCATAATAAAGAAGTCTGAAACAAAGCAACATCATCCATAGCTTACTTAAGAACATGTTAAAAATATACTTGGACTTTTCAGTTATGTTTCTGTGATAATTTACCACCCCACCCCCAATGAATAATGCTTCTGGTTGGTCAAGGTCATGCAGTCACCTCACACACTGACTCTGAGCTAGGCACTGCCACTTGCTTTGGTCTGCTGCAGATAACATGGCCCAACCACTGGTCAGTTTCAACTGTCCCACATGTGGGTAAAGCCATCTTAGACCATCAGCCCCAGCTGACCTCTTCCATGACTGCAGACACATGAGGAAAGATTAAGAACCATCCAGTCCAAATTGCTAACCCACAAACTCATCAGCAAACAAATGGTTATTATTACAAGACACTAAGTTTTGGGGTGGCTTCGTAAGCAGCAATTGATAAATTGATCCAGTTTCTTACACTTGGTTTACCAGTTATACATACTAAGTATCATTTGAGAAGGTGAGCCTTGCACAGCTTCATCTCTTATTTAATTTAGAGAATTAACAAGGCATCAAACACAAAATGGGAAAGCAAGGCATGGAACACTACATAGAACAGAAAACTTCCTGAAGGTGTTAGAGTGATAATGAGCAACCAAGGATGCACAGCCTTCATCTCCATTCCTGCCTCCCTTCAGAGGTCACTCTATACCTATTTAGTCCCCTACAACCCAGAATGAGGACTTCAGCATGCTGCTGCCTGGTCTGACAAACCATCAACGCATAACTGACATGCTCTGATTAACAGGTCATCATGAGACTGGAATTGGTTCATCGGGAAATGGACTGAAGTTACAACTGGAACTTTTCCATGGGGTGCACATGCCTGTGGCCCCTCTACCTTGCCCTGAGCACAGTCCTGTGTGAAAAGGATAATTTTCTAAATAAATTTTATACATTCTCCATGATGGCTACCACAAAAAAAAAAAAAAAAGGAAAAAGCAACCAATAAAATTATTTTCAATAACTGGATTTAGGAATGTGAAGATGACTTGAAGCACTTACAGATGAAGATTAAAGACTAAAATCTGCAGTATGGATTACACATCAACATAAAGAACATGAAAATCCTCACAACTGGACCAATAAGCAGCATCATGATAAATGGAGAAAAGACTGAAGTTGTCAGAGATTTCATATTACTTGGTTTAACAACCAACACCAATGGAAGTAGCAGGCAAGAAATCAGATGACGTATCGCACTGGGCAAATCTGCTGCAAAAGACCTCTTTAAAGTGCTGAAGGGCAAAGACGTCTCTTTGAAGACTAAGGTGCACCTAACCCAAGCCATGGTATTTCCAATCGCCTCATATACATGTGAAAGCTGGACAATGAATAAGGAAGACTGAAGAAGAGTTGATGTTTTTGAATTGTGGTGTTGGTGAAGAATACTGACTGTACCATGGACTGCCAGAACAACTAACAAATCTGTCCTGGTAGTAGCCGCAATGCTCCTTGGAAGCGAGAATGGCCAGACTTCATCTCACCTCCTTTGGTCATGTTAGAAGGGACCATCCCCTGGAGAAAGATGACATGCTTGGTAAAGTGAGAGTCAATGAAAAAGGGGAAGGCCCTCAACAAGATGGACTGACACAGCAGATGCAACAACGGGCTCAGGTATAGCAAGGATCGTGAGGCTGGCACAGGACTGGGCAGTATTTCATTCTGTTGTACATAGGGTCTCTATGAGTTGTAACAACTATATGTTAAATGTTATTTACTTTATTTGTAATAATACAAAAAATCCCTTAGATTTCAGATACAGTATTAGGAAGACAAATAAGACAAATTTACTTTGTAATTAAAGTAGTTGCAAATAAAATTGAGAACTTTTTTGATCTTCAGTTAAAAGAGTTCATATTTCCCAAACCACACTAGGTTTAACACTGTGCCTCAATTTTATAGTAACTGCCATTGAACCAAAAAAAAAAAAAAAGAACATGACAACTTCAGTGACAGAAGAAATACAAGAATGCTTAAACATAAACACAGATACAGATATACTTCCTGATTTGTAAAAAAAAAAAAAAAAATTAGTAGAGGATAAAAAGATTGTTTCATTAAAAAAAATACAACTTGCATTTTTCTTTTTCCTGAATTTTCTTTCACCTTTCTTATCACCATTTTGTACACCTGAGGTGCCAAATGGAGGACCTAGTTAGGTGAGAAAGTTGTGAATTTAAAATAAGTAATGAGGCAGTAATTCTGCCTCTACCTCCATTCATTCCACTAAGTCATTTCACTGCTTTGGACCCAGCTTCCCAATTCACCTATACAATAAAATGGTTGGACTGGATGATGTCCACTGTCCTTCTAAAGGTTTGTCATCTTGTAATTCTAAATGGAACCTACCTTTAATAGGGCCCATGCAGGCCTCTCCCAAAGACCCAGAAGGAAAAGCAAATTGGCCTAGTGGGCTGTTGGGCAGCTACTCCAGGCTGTTCCTAGGAGTGTCTGTTTCCTTTTCAGTTCTGTCTGGAGATGGGATGGTCCTCCTCACAGGATTCCTGCCTTGTGCAGGGCTCTCACCTGACATGGCCTGTCCCAGGATACCATGCCACAGATCCACAGGCAACAGAATCTACTGGTACCATTGGCCAACAGATATTCTCATTTCCCACAATGCCTAATATTGAGTGAATCCAATGGTATATACACTTTTTATGGAACATATATTTAATTATAGTTTACATTTTTCCATAATGTTAAATGCAGACCATAGAATATATTTCCAAGTTGATGGCAGATGTGGCTGTCATAATATGATAAAATTATCAGCCCTTCCCAGGAGTATTTCCTCAAAAAATCATTCTCTCACCCAATAAACTAGAATAAAATTGATGTGTATTTAATTCTTTTTGTACCAATTTTTAAAATTAACATTAACAGAAACTGATGTTAAAAAATTTTCTCTTTAAACAATGATATAATGCATACATTGATTTTCTAGCTATTTTTTAGGTCTAAACTTCACTGTAATAACTGAGATGTAAATATAGGAAAGCTGCATCACTGGCTGAATTTCTAGAAAACAAGTTTATTAATTCAAAAATAATATTTATTTATTGTGATTTGGGTGAAAGTTTACAGAGCAAATTCAAAAAGTAATAATTCTTTAGGAAAGGAAATGCAATAGATAATAGCATAGAACAGTTTGATGCCATTATCAACAATAAACATTTCTGAAGTTTATGAAGCCACAAAAGATGTGCAAACAGAGTGGCATGTGGTAAGACTAAAACAACTTCCAAAGCAACTACCAAATCATCCCAGAATTGAAGTATTTCTTGGTCTTTCTTTAGCAAAAATCAATGTGTATAAGAAAGTACTAACATAGTATTAAAAAAATATTAAATATCAACATAAATAATTTTAGATTGTGTTTAATAAAACATGAATCAGGTGGAATAAAGCACATTTTTAAAGATGTTGGTGGAATTATGGTAAAATATTAAATTACAGAAGTAGGTTCCCTACTATTCTATATGAATTGTTCCTATGTTACTACAGTCTTCATAATAACCATATTCATAACATTTTCTTTATAAAAGAAAGTAATATGTATTCATTATAGAAACAATGGAACACATTACAAAATAAAATAAAAATCATTCACATCACCATTGTTGTTGTTGTTAGGTGCCGTTGAGTCAGCTCCAACTCATAGCGACACTATTTACAATAGAACAAAACTCTGCCCAGTCCTGCGCCATCCTCACAATCCTTGCTATACCTGAGCCCATCGTTGCAGACACTGTGTCAGTCCATCTCATTGAGGGCCTTCCTTTTTTTCACTGACCCTCCACTTTACCAAGCATGATATCCTTCTCCAGAGAATGGTCTCTTCTGACAACATGACTAAAGTGTTGTTGTTGTTATGTGCCGTTGAGTCAGACCCAACTCATAGCGACCCCTCCTTGGGTTTCCATGGTGGTATCACTACGGAAGTAGACTGCCCAACCTTCCATCCGAGGAGTGGCTGGTGGGATTGAATTTCCAGCCTTCTAGTTAGCAGTGAAGTGCCTTAGGCACTATGCTACCAGAGCTCTGGCCATTCTCACTTCCAAGGAACATTTCAGCTGCAGTACTTCCAGGGCAGATTTGTTCATTCTTCTGGCAGTCTATGGTACTTTCAGTATTCTTTACCAACACCACAAGTCAAGAGCATCATCCTTACCCAGAGATAAACACACACCATTGCAATGCATTTCCTTCTGGGCCTCTTTATGTACACACTCTTTAAGTGGGTGTGTACAACAGCCACAGTTTCTCTCCTCCTTCCCCAAACCAGGAGCACACTGTGTATCTAGGTACTTTCTTCATTTTATAATATTTCTTGAACAGTTGCGGGAGTGGAGAATTACCGAAATGTGTTAATTAAATGATTGGTTCTGCTTAATACCAGATGGTACAATCACCAGGTTTGGGAGAATGTGACAAGAGAAAAACTGTTCTGGGGCTTTGTATTTCTGCTTTCTAGGTGAGGTAGATCTCAAGAGAGAAGCCCGTACCATTGAACTGGCATGCTGAAGACACACCAGTATGGATGCCTATTTCATCCGTCAAGGAGATAGAATCACCGAATCCTAAGCGTTCAAAAGACTTTCAGTGTCACCCACTCACACCTCCTGACTGACTGCTTTCTTTCTTCACCCCACAGCAGCCCTTCTTCCCACATGTATAAAGGTCACTCTTGGTAAATGGTCATAACACTTCACTTGACACATCCAGCGACTAGCAACTCACTATTTCATGAGACATCATGTTCCATTTTGTACTGTTCAGTTATTCCTTATGTGCTGCTGAAATTGGCCTGCCTATAACTTTTGTCTATTAATCCCAGTTCTGCTGGTTGGAACAACACAGAATGAACCAACTCCATTTCTATAATCACCCTCTAAGATAACATTTCCTCCCTGAGATAGAGTACCTGTTTCTTCAACAGCTCCTCTGGTAATTTATTTGACAGAGTCTGTCATCCTGACCTACTAGATATACTCTGTTTTGCAAAGGCCCTTCCAGAAAAAGACTTGTTACAATTGGACACATTTCACAACATGAAGGCACCTACTGTGGAAGATGGTATCTAAAATAACCCTTATGTTCCACCTCCTGGGTTACATGCCTTGTGTAATCCCCTCCCTTTGAGTGTGGGTGGGAGCTGTGACTTGTTTCTAACTAACAAAATATAGCATAAATGAAGGAATGTCACTCCCATGATAATGTAACATAAGGTTCTAACTCATCTTGCTAGAAGACCCTTGTTAGGAGATTCTCCCTTGCTGGCTCTGGGGAAGCAGGCAGCCATGTTTGAAAGGCCCACATGGCAAAACTCTGAGGACAGCCTTTTAGTCAACATCAAGGAAGAAATTGAGGTCCTCAGTTTGATAATCCACAAATAACAGAATGCTGCCAATACAATGTGAACTTAGAAGTAGATTCTTCTCAGCTGAGTCTCACATGAGACTCTGGTCCCTAACTTACATCTTGGTTGCTGCCTTGTGAGACCCTGAAGCCAAGCTAAGCTGTGTCTGGACTCCTGACCCACAGAATCTGAGAGATAATAAATGTGTGTGGTTTTAAGCTTCTGAGCTGCAGTAATATTGTAATACAGCAATAGATAACTAATACATCCACTGTATTGATACATGCAAACATACTAATCAGACTTCTTTGAGGAGGTTAACGTTCAAAATATGAATTTCCCCTCTAGATAAAATCATTCTATAAGTAAATGGTACAAAGCCAGTTAATGAGTCCAGTAAAAAACCAGTTCGCCATGTACAAAAACCAGTTTGATCATGTACTCAGATCTTTACCCTGCAGGAAACCATTCACCTGTTATACTGAAAGAGATATCTTTGTCAGGAGGAGGCAAGAAAAACATCTAAAGTAAGAAAAAACTATGTTATTTCTCCTGTTGTGCATAATTCTTAAGTTTCCTGCACCAAAAAATGATCAATAAAAACTTTCTATTGCGGGGGCAGTGGAGGTGAGGAACACTTCAGGTTTTTAACTTCTCTTGATTTCTTGAAGGCCTCATAGGAATAACTCGTAGGCCAAATGGATGTCCTATGACAGTGTTCTAGACAAAGACACTGTAGGAAAAAGGAAACAAAAAGCAAAATCAAGAAAACCTTCCATAGGACTAATGGCCCTTGTGAACCACAGCCTCTTTTATCTTGAGACCAGAAGAACTAGATGGTGCCCAGCTACCATCATCTAATGTTATGACCAGGGACACAATGTAAGATTGCAGTTAGAATGGGAGAAAAAAATGTAGAACAAAACTCAAATTCATAAAAAGACTCAGACTTATTAGACTGATATGGACTAGAAGAACCCCCAAGACAAAGGTGCCCCTTTAACCTGGAACTGAAGCCATTTCTGGAGGTTACCTTCAGCCAAATAATAAACTGGCCATAAAATAAATAACACCTGTGAGGAATGTGTACCTTTAAATAATCAACTCTACAAGACCAAATGGTCAACATTTTCCAAAAGCAAAGATGAGAAAGCAAGGAGGGACAGAGAAATTGGATGGATAGAAATTGGTAGGTGGGGTGGAAACGGTCAGAGTGCAGATACGTTGCCAGCATTGTAATCTGCAGTGCAGTGAATTACTTAGTATGGCTCTCCTAGCCGTGGTCTTTATAACTCCCACCAAAAAACTAGGTGGAACTATGCAAATGTAAGGTGCTTGTGGGGACTGGATAGCTTGCTGATAATGTAAATAAGGTGCGTGGTGTCCTTGTGGAGGTGGGACTGTGAAAATAGGGTGTATGGAACCCTAATGTGAGGATTGGTCAGTTTTGCCATTCCACTAGGCTTAAAATGAGCTATCCCAGAGGGAGAAAAGGGGAATTGCACAACCATCAAGACAGAGGAGAGCTGGGAGGGGAGCACATCTTTGGACCTGAGACACCTGTGCTGAGACAGTGGCCTCAGAGACAGTAGAACCAAGAGACCAACAGAGGGCTGGCCTTGCCAGAAAGCTGAGTGCCTTTGGGCAGGGAGCTCATTGGTGGAGTAGGATGCACCTATCAGCAGAGCTAAAAGTGGTTTGTAACACTTGCCCAAGCAGGGCAGATGCCAGGCTGAGAAGTCAAGGGCCAAAGAGAGGCATGCCTGAGGGCATGGCCCAAGGGAGGCTACCCTGATTGAAGAATTGTATCCTGAGTATTCTTGAACTTTAATTGTAACCTGTTACTTCCCTAATAAATTCCATAATCTTGAATATCGCGTGTGAGTTCTGTGAGGCCACTGCAACTAATTATTGAACCCAGCAGAGAAACAGAGAGTGCTATGGGAAGAATGGTTGGTGTCAGAATTAGTCAAAAGGTTGGAGGGAGGCAGCATGTCTGATCTCAATATCATAGGAATCAGCCTTGGGCTGTTGATGCTGATAGCTGATTCTCTCTCCCATTTATGAAATTAGAGGTCAGAGGATGCTGCTCCGAGACCCTTTTTCCATAACCAATGTCAGCAACAATTTGTGTATGAATTGTCAAATGGGAATCTAATTTACTGTGTAAACATTCATCTAAAACACAATAAAATATTCCACAAAACAAAATTTGCTGTACCCAGACTCAGGTATGCTAAAAGCAAAAATTAAAGAAATGTTGAGTTATTTTTTCACCTTACCTGAGATGAATTATCAAGCATGTGGAACATGCAGGCAAAGGCAATTTTTTTTTTGCTAGATTTGGGTATGTGAAAATGTACGCCAATAACTCTTTGAATATAGTTCCATCACTAGATACTTTTTCACATTTCTAACAACTCAGGCTAATTCCCATAAGCCAGGCTGTAAACACAAACTACTTTAAATAGCAATGTAAATAAAAAAATAACCTCCAGAAATGGCTTCAGTTCCAGGTTAAAGGGGCACCTTTGTCTTGGGGGTTATTTTTTTATTTACATTGCTATTTAAAATCATAAAAAATTCCCCTGTTAGAAATCTATAAATGTCAAGAAATGAAGGATTATCTGAGGATAGACATATACTTTAGAAAAACAGTTTCCTATCACTTTCCTTTGTCTGGGAACAGCATGTCTATCCCAGAAAGCCTTATTAGTTTAGGCCTAAGTATTTGGGGGTAGGCAGTACAGAGAGGAATCACATATATAAGCACCGCAAATGCCTTCACTGGCCCCAGACAGAACGGAACTACTATGTGATAAGAATGCCCATGTCTTTGATTCTAGTACATTAACCAAATGGAATTTAAAATAAATCATTAATTAAAAAGATGCAAATCCACAACCTATTATAAATAGTAGATGGAAGTATACTATTAGGTGTTGAAAAGTTTTTTTTCACTTCATAGATATTATGCTTAACTAGACAGGCTATAAACAGAATTAATTCACGAGCAACTTTGACTTGTTTACTTATTATTTGCTTTCATTTATCCTCAGAGAGGAGAGAACTGTGAGCCTACGCAGCAGAGTTTTATATCTCACTTGACTGTACCTGGTAATGAATTTAGGTGAGTAAGAAGCACTTATTACTTCTTACTCCCACCCTGCCATTGCCTTCAATTACTTACATCTCTGTATCCATCTACTACGTTCCCAGAAACATCTCCTGCTATGTCTCTACAACCAGCTGGGCAGAATTTGCTGAGAAAAGAAAATAAAGAATTTACATTTTATTAAATTAACTACTAAATTACACTTAAATAATTTTTTTTTTCTCCTGGATAGAACATGTTCATGAATCTTGCCTTAATGACCAATCAGAAACCTAATTTGTGCAATAAACAGATTAGTCTAAAATGATTCTCTGAAGGCAAGTATTTCACAATAAAATATGTTTTATTTAAGGATTCACCATAAGACTCCATCAAACAAGGAGCTTTCCTAAAGTATTTTAATTGATTCTGAGATGTCCATGCAATACTTTCTAAGAAACAAAAAAGAATTCTAAACAATATATATGATACAACCTCACTTTCATAAAAATATTCAAAATATATAAAATAACAATACATGTTTTCTGTGGCAAAGAAAAGCATCCTTGTTTCTCTTTTGTGGTAGTGTTTGAGGGATGTCACTTTCTGTGCTCCATAATTTTGTAATAATTGGTTTCTATATACTAGCACTGTCTGAAAGAAATATAATGGGGGGGGTCACATTTGTAATTTTAAATAGTTTAGTAGCCACATTAAAAAAGTAAAAAGAAACAGGCAAAATTAGTATTATTAATATATTTTATACAGCCCAGTATGTCCAAATTTAATAATTTTCACATGTAATGAACAGAAGAAGAATGATCAGTGAGATAGTTTACATTCCTTTTTTTATACTAGTCTTCAACATCTGGAGTGTATTTTAAACTATAGTACATCTTAATCTGGATTAGCTACAATTCAAGGACTCAAGAGTCATTTGTGGCTTGTGGCTGCCATACCAGACAGTGAAGCGCTATATTAATTAGGAATTATCCCTGAAATCATAAAAAAAAAAAAAAAGTATATTTAAATTAGGATTCCATTCACAGTAGTTAGTAGTAGTTCTATTAATGGTAGCTTTCCAAGTAACCTTGCAGAAACATGTTACTGCATGTGGTATGGTTGAAGAGGCTCAGTGCTAAAGGCCAGGTGATCCAGGCTCTGACACTAACTAGCTGGCTGTGTTACCCTGACTAGCACATGTAATCCCCCTTAGATTCTGTTTCCTCATGTGTAGTTCCTTTAGGCATCAACACATTAACAGGATATGATGAGAGACAGCTCTATTTCTATGAAAAAGATACAAAAAGAAAGTTAAAGTATCACAAGAGTGTTGATAGCTTTGAAAATATATGTCATCTGCATTCGTTTCTATATATGTCCCTTTACAATGTTTACCTGTTTGGTTTGTTTAAATAAAAGGTACTGGCCCCCAAAATTCCAATACAGCAATTGCTTTTATTTAATTTCCTGTTGCTGACTGCATATTATATGTAAAAAAATCAAAAACCAAACTCACTGCCGTCAAGTCGGATCCGACTCACAGCGACCCCTCCTTGGGTTTCCAAAGTGGTATCTCTATGGAGGTAGATTGCCCAATATTCCTTCCGAGGAGTGGCTGGTAGGTTTGAACCGCCAGCCTTCTGGTTAGCAGTCAAATGCCTTAGGCACTATGCTTTGAGTTATACATATAACAACATCTAATTACTGAAATTAACCAAGTAAATGCTTCTTAATTCTTTCCCACTCACCTTATGCAGTCCCAGTATTACAGCAGTAATCAAGGAGTTAGGAAATGAAAATATGTTAAGATTTCCAGAGGTACTATCACCACTGGGACTATCTAAGTATGACTGCAAAGACTTCAGAGAGTACTGGTGTATGTCCATATTGGATGAATAGCAACTTTAAAAGGCAACATTCAATTATTGCTCATTTTCATTTTTCTCTACTACATTAACACTAGAGCTGTTAACTAACACTAGAGCTGATTCTACACATAAAACAATTCCATTTAGTAGAGTGCCCAAATGTCTGATTTGGTTAGTTCCTGGATGGCCCAGTTAAGCCCCTGACTACTAGCTAAACAGTTGTCGGTTCAAACTCACACAGAGGTACTCCAGGAGCCAGGCCTGGCATTCTGCTTCTGAAAGGCCATTGGCTTAAAAACACTGTGGAGCAGTTGTACTGCACATAAGTGGGGTCACCATGAATCGGAATTGACAGCCAATGACAACACCATGGGGTCTTGAGCTTGATACCCCGGGTTGCGTAGCTAATCTGGATATAGTAAAACCTACCTTTTAGGCATGTTGGGATGTTCACATGAGCTACTTATATACAAAGTATACAGAGTTATGCTTGGTCCCTAGAAAGCACTCTGAAGAATATAGTTGTTAGTGTTGTTGTTGACAATTATTTCCAAACCACAGGCTCTCAACTGGAGGCAATTCTGCCTGCCAGGAGACATCTGGCAATATCTGTAGCCATTTTTGTTTGCCATAACTGACATCTAGAGGATAGATGCAGGAGATGCTGCTAGCCATCCAAGGCACAGGACCGTCTCCCCATAACAAAGAAGTATCCAATCCAAAATGTCCACAGTGCCAAGGGTGAGAACCCAGTGTTTGACTAACTACCCTACTATACAAACCCAGAACCAAACCCATTGCCGTGGAGACCAATTCACAGGGACCCTACAGGAGAAAGTAAAATTGCCTCATAAGGTTTTCAAGGCTGTAAATCTTTACAGGAGTGGACTGCCACCTCTTCTCCCATGGAGCTGTTGGTGGGTTCAAGCTGCTGACCTTTCCATTAGCAGCCAAGCACTTAACCACTGTACCACTCGGGCTCTTTCTACCTTACTATATAGACTAGGAAATGTACACCAAAGAGGTGAAGTAATTTTTCCAGTTAAAGTGGGGATGAGAAATTTCACCTCCTTACTCTCAGTAGGTTTCTCCTTTGTGAGAAAGACAAAATGAACCCTCTCCTCAAGGAAAGAATTACAAAAGTCATTACAAACACTAGCCAGGTTTTAAAAAAATGCATTCTAGATTTAATTATAGCTCATTGGCACTACGGTGGCATGCAGGGGTGGACACACTACAGCCTGAGGGCCAAATCTTACCAGTCATTTGTTTTTGTAAATAAAGTTTAAAGGAAACACAGTCATATTAATTTGTTTATATATTGTGAATAACTGCTTTTGCCCTATGATGGTAGAGTTGAATTGCTGCCACAGAGACTGTATGGTTCACAAAACCTAAAATAATTACTTTTTAACCCTTCACAGAAAAAGTTTGCCAATCCCTGCTCTGAAAGAAACCATTTCTATTATTCTTCTGTACATACGACATGATTGATTAAAACATATATAGGTGTGTGTGTGTGTGTGTGTGTAAATAAAGTATGTTCCGCAACATATGACTGCATCACAGTGAAGGACAACTATACCATAGTTACCTGTAGTCTGTCTTCAAATAATGGTTAGCTCGTTCCAAACATGTTATTAAATCTGTCGTAAATAAAGATAACTTCAATTAGCACACTGAATAGAAGGTAGGACATTCATGCAATAATGTTTTCTTTTTAAGTAAAAAGGATAGTTTTTAAAAAGCATTCATTCATGATCTAGTAATATGCATTTTCCTGTTTAAAAATAAATCAAAACTAAGAATAATGTCCCTACTATTTAAACAGTTCCTCATCTCTCTGTTCTACCACTAAGGATGGTCTTTGAGTGTTGGCCCAGTGAATCATAACAGAATCTATTTCCAACAGAAAAACTAACACTGGTTAGTTACTATGTGCTACATGTCTACAATGGTTGTGTGTATAACCTCTCCTGGCAGGAGGAAAACAATTTCAAAAGCCAAATGTGGTTTATAGGGAAGGTTCCAGAAACACTTTAATTTCACAATGTAGCCAGCGGCATTCCAGTAGCCACAGAACCAGATGTTTCCCAAGACCACCACCACCACAACATTGGCTTTGTATCAACCAGAATCAGGCAATTAAGAAGAAAATGCTTAGTTTATTCATCTCTGGAGTAATTTATAGAATTGAACCAACACTCAGCAACAGGGAAGTTAAGATACTGTGGGTGTCTATGCATTTAGTTCAACCTATGATAGTGTCTAAATATTTTACAGTTGTTGTAATAGTTGTTTCTTTCCTTCAGCTTTTCAATAGTTCCTAGAGAGCAAAGTATGGTGAACGCTGGCCATACTGGGCCTGTTGAGAATACTCAGATCTGACCGACTAAGAGGGAATTGAATGGTCTGTTCTCCCCAGGGTATTTCTGCCAGCAGGCAGAGAGCAGAAACTCTGGACACCTCTCTTTCCAGAAAATCTGAACAAATATAGAGTGGACTAAGTATAATGGACACAAGAGGCCTGAATAGGAGTCCACACTTCTCTCTCTCCTCAGCTTTCATGCTCCCTTCTGTCCTGCTCAGGTTTCAGCTTCACCCTATTTAGGGCACTATGCTGTGGTGTCTTCCTCATGATGTTAATACTGTATATGCTTCCTAGGTGGGTGCACTGGTAGAGGAGCCATAAAAGACCTGGTCTCTGACGTGAGAAGAAGATAGGGGAGGGCCCCCAGAGAATTGCCAGGCCTCAAAAGGGTCAGGAGGGCTGCCCCAAAGATGTGTTATCTAAGGTTCCTAGGTAAAAGAGATCATCCCTGTCACACATAAGTCAGCTGATCAATCTACATACTATACAATTATTCCATTCAGATCTATCCACTGGCAATGATGATGCAATCCTCTCTTCCCTCACATCTTAATTCTATATCTGAGGTCACAATTCTGTCCAGAGATGATGATAGGTAGCAAGAGGAATTCATAGACAGAGAAAGGTACACAGATTTGTGTTGATTCTTCTGTTATACCTGGATGATCGCTGCTGGCATAGGTCAGCAAAAAACCCCTCCCAGAAATATGGGATCCACTCTCAAAGCGAATAGTTACTTCACTTGTGTTGAGCAAGAGTTCTTTGGGAACGGCCATACTTCCACAATACGGGCCTAAAAACAAAGCACAATTGTGGCATATTTCAAAATTGAGACCAGCACGAAGAATTGGTATGTGACACATTCTTTTCTTTAAAGGTCAAATTTACCAGAAACCCATAATGCAAGATTCTAATCTTTACCCAACTGAAATTTTGTTTAACATTGAGACTGATGACCACTGACTGGCATGAACTTGGTTATACTGACAAGGCAAGGGAGAAAACCGGCTTAATTGAATATATACAGGAGCTTACTCTAGACAAGCAACAAGTTGCAACTAATTAATTGTGAACAAGTCAAAAGATGGGTTTTGTTTTTAACAAAAAGACGACTACCAAACAAAGGTCAAATACATTAGGCAGTAAAGAAAATTTTATCACAAAAATGTTATTGTGGGGACCTCTTAAATTTGCTAAAAGAAATTTACAAATTCCCTTTTTCCAAGGAGGTTCCAGAATTAAAAGTAACAACTGTCTTTAACAATCTTATTTTTGTACAGTTTACACATTTCTCTCTCTCTTATAGTAACTTCTGGTTAACCTATATAACTTATTTTGATTTATAAAATAAGGATCTAAGGCATTTGAAATATACTGTAAATTATTCAGTTAGGATTATAACATTGTTTCTACAATAAATTTCTTGAAAAGCAACAGGAAGCTCAATGAATTTTTAAAAGACAAAATTAGATTTGGAGCTATAAACAATCTAACTTTTCTTGTACTACTGTAAGTTAAAGTTTAGCTTATAAATTATCATTTTGAAAGTCATATATGCAAAACAATAATCTCTTAAAATGGTTAAAATGGCAAATGTTTGTTATATACATTTTATCACAATAAAACTTAAAATAATAATCGCTATGAAAATAGGAATTAACAAGCATATTTTGATAAGATTCATTCTTCATCAACTTCTCACAAATTGAAACAGTATGGAAATGGTCAATAGCAACGACAATAACAACAATCAGGTCAAGGAAAATGGAGGCAGGGAACCAATCAGACTTCAGCATAGCAGAAAGGCCATTTCAATCTGAAAAAAACTGGGGTGCACTAACCAAAACCAAAATACGGCCCAAACTGTACAGAGATTCAGGAGATCATGAACCCAACTAACCATTGGGCTTTCTTTCTGGTTCTTGTCTCACATTCTGATAGGTTGGGAGAGAAATGGGGGGGTGAGGATATTATTTCTGTAGAGATAGCACCTTGGAAACCCAAGGAGGGGTCACTATGAGTCAGATCCGACTCGACGGCAGTGAGTTAGATTTTCTGGTTTGAAAATTCCATAGCACTTCAATGATTTCTAATAAAAACTGTGAAGTAAATTGATTATCAGAAAGAACGTGTTGGGTCTTTTTTAAAAATTATTTTATGAAACAATTGAAAAAAAGGTTGCAAAATTTGAAATCATGTTACATGAATAGGTAAAAGTGTATACCACTACCCTAAGCAGTTGGGCAATATATATGATTTCCTAGAGCAAAAATACATTCTCACTACGGTCGAGTGGGATCTGACTCATAATGACCCCTCCTTACGTTTCTGAGGCAATATCACTACAGAAGTAGATTGCCCAACCTTCCTTCTGATGAGTGGCTGGTGGGTTTGAACTGCCAGGCTTCTGGTTAGCAGTCAGATGTATAATAAAATTCTAATGTGGTTGCACCCTCCCAAAATCATGCCTGGCACATAAATATTTCTGGAAGAAGTTCAAAGAAAGAATATGTAAACACCTACTCCTTTAATCAACCCTTACTCCACAAGGCACCAATCTCTTACATTCTTATTAACATGGCATAAAAATGTAACTAAATTCTATAGGAGATAGAATATCCCTCTCTATATCAATGCCATCATTAAAAGTTCTTTTCATAGATTCATCAAAATCATAACTATCACAATAGCAGTGGAGCGTTTTAGTCTGGGGGGTGGTTAGGAGTTGAGTATTAGCTACAGTATCGCCTATGGCAAGGCACCCAAATTACTGCCTGTCTGAAGGTCTGACAGATAAAGATTCTTTTTCATAGTCTGGAAGTTAATAAGTACATTCCTAGAGTTAAAAGGGAAAAGAGATGAAAACACAAAAATGTGACTGGCAGTGAGAGGGAAAAATAATTAATTGGAAACCACTGAAAAACCCTTTTAGTCTATCCTAAGCCATGTTCTCAGTTCTCAGTCTGACTCATGTGAGGATAACATCTTTTCTTTTGAAAGTCATTCCTCCCCTCCACTTCTGCCTACAACATATATTTCACTGTTAATAACCTACATTCTGGTTTTTTACAAGAGTCTAGAGCTGAGTTCAATTCCTGGCCAATGCACCTCACAGGCAGCCATCACACATCTGCCAGGGGAGACTTGTATGTCGCTATGACGCTAAACAGGTTTCAATGGAGCTTCCAGACTGGCATAGACCAGGAAGAAAGTCCTGGTGATCTACTTCTGAGTATCTACTGAAGAAAACTCCATTGATCATAACGCTCCTGTCTGCAATCGGTCATGGGGATGGCACAGGACTGTGCAGAGTTTGATTTCATTCCACATGGAGTAACCATGAGTTGGGTCCAACACAGGACCTGCCAATTAGTTGTGGGAAAAGCTATCAGTGATACCAAATGGAACAGCATCTGGGATTAGATATGAGACCAAGACTCAGTAGATAATGGGCTGATTCCTTAGCAAAAGGACTAAAGAGCCAGGAATCACAGGAGGTGCCTTCTTGGACCAAGTAGGTTAGCTCCTCTCAGCCCACACCCTGTTTGCAGCTACTGTTCCATTAGCAGCTAAGAAGGACACCCTTTATCTTTCCATGTGTGAATAAAAGAAAAGTGCCCTATAAGGAACAATGAACTCTATGCTCTAAGCAGAACCCAGAATTCTCTTAATTGTCTGGCAACTTGACAACCCGGGCAGCAACTTACAGCACATCTTTGGAATGTCTCCCCAAAACTCTTTGGGCATTATAGGGCAAGAAACACCCTAGTTAAAAATTTTCATTTCAGATGGCTATATTGTTTTGGTCTTAAAACTGATGAAACTTAGTTATTGTTCCAGTTGTGAAAGGGGTATGTTTTTAAAAATGGTATCACTTGCTTACACTCACTGCCATCAAGTCAAATCCAGTTCAGTTACCCCCATCAGTTTCTGAGACTGTAAATCTTTACGCAAATAGATCACCCCATCTTCCTTCTGTGGAGCGGCTGGTGGGTTTAAACTACTAACCTTCTGGGTAGCAGCCAAATGGCTTATCCACTAGACCACCAGAGCTCCTTTAATATGCTGTTAAAAAAAAAAAAAAGTCTCACCCTCCATAAACATTCTCTTAGTGGTGAAAAACACGGAGACCAAATTCAAAAAATAAATAACTCCTGAAAAATTTATCATAAGATACTACAACCACACAAAACAACTGACAATCTCCACTGGCCTTATGGAGCCCCTTCTGAAGCAAACATTTAATTTCCCATAAGAAGGTAATTTCTCAAGTAAAAACAGAAAGCAAGAACCCTTTCCTGGGAGTGCCAGCGGCAGGGCAAGCCACACCACACACTCTCAGTTGCCAAGAAAGCAGTGTCCAGCAAGGGTCCAGATCCGTGCTCAGAGGTGTGCAGATAAACAATCTCTGGAAATGCTGAAGCCATTAGACTTATGTCTGTTTTCCAGATGGTTTTTCAATGCAGTCAAATGGCAGAGTTTGTTCTTGCTTGCTTATTGCAATAGGGTCATTGTACAAAATTACAGAATTTTCAGGGCCATTTTCTTTGAAAAGGAAGGAAATTAGCATTAAAAAGGGGATATTCCTGGGCTGTACCATTAAAACCATGGTCACGTAAGAATGTAAGTGGTGTCCCTGGAGAGTTTTGGTCTCTGGTTCTCAGACAAAAATCAGTGACAGATGATAAATGAACCGGGCAGATTCTTAGACAAAGGTGCAACTTTCCCTGGGGCTCTGAGAGCCAGGTCGCTAAGTGCTTCAACACAGGAGCTCACTACTCACCTAGGACATTATATCTCTCCCCCTAAAGTGATGGCAGTTACTAAAAGTGAATCTCTGTGAGTTTCCAGGGAAATATTTGGAGGCAAGGAGAAGGAAGAGCTCAATAGTTTTTTCTACTTGAGACCTGTGTTAAGAGATAACTAGCGTGGGATATTCTGGCTGATACAACCTTTATAAGTTTAAATTTTTTTCTAAATTCTACATTGGCATAAAAGCCAGTTGTCATCTAGTTGATTCTGACTCATGGTGACCCCACGTGTGTCAGAGTAGAACTGTGCTTTATAGAGTTTCAAAGGCTGATGTTTGTCCAAAGTAGATGACCAGTCTCCCCCCCTCCCCCGCCCCAGGATTCTTTGGGTACATCTGAACCTCCGTGGTTAGCAGCCAAACTCTGAACTGTTTGTACCACCTGGGAATGACTCCTAGGCATAAAAGCCAAGGCAAAACAAAATAAAACAAAAACAAGTAAACAAACAAACAACAAACAGCCCTGCTCAAGCATTTCTACCAAAGTAGCCTCAACCACAGAGGAGAAAGTACTTCTGGGTGGTGGGAGAGCCGAAGTATCTCTTACAAGCTGGCAATTTCTTCAAAGGCATCTGTTTCACCTTTAAAATGTGTAAGACATATGCGAGACACAAAACACTTGTAAAACAGAGCCTGCCAATCCTGTGCCTTTCCTTCTTTGGGATTATTTAAAAAAAAAAAAAAAAAAAATCTACAAAGGAATAATGATTAGCTCTTATTGCAGCATGCCAGATATATATCATTCCAAAACATTATCACAGAAATTATGTTCTGATTATGAGTCAAAATACTCAGTATTATTTCCTACTTTTCTCATTCTTCTTGTTCCTAGAGTAATATAAATATTAACATTTGACTTGACATCAGTGTACTTCTAAGTCACAGACAATGGTAAAAAAAAAAAAAAATACTGGGGGTGGAAGTGGAAGAACAGGAAATGTAAAGGAACAATTCCTGAACTTCCTGGTTTTTCTATAGTGCAA